GATTAGATAGTCATTTTACTATCAGCATCACCTACCTGACTGTTACTGTCATTAGTATTGGCATTGTCCTTCCTCTTGTTGTCCATTCTTCTACCTTCTGCTGTTCCTTTCTCTATTGTTGTATCTCCTTTTATTTCATTTTCCTTCTGCTCAGTATTAGAATCAAGCATGGAGATTACATGAGCATCCCCCAACTGTCTCCCCCAAATTCTAATTTAAAGCTCTTTTAATGAGTTGTGCCAACCTTCGTCCCAGATATCCCTTACCATCTCTACTCAGGTGGAGTCTATCCCATGAGACCAGTTCTTTGTCCAGAAATGCCTCCCAGTGGTTGAACATCCCAAAGCCTCCTTATAGCATCACTGCCTGAACCATCTGTTGTTCATCATCGTCTTGCCTTGCCTTCACTATCCTCCTTCAAGGACAGCTAGACTCCCACTGAAGACTATCTGAGCCACCATTTCTTTAAGCATCTTCCCCAGCCTGATGTAGTCTTCCCTGATGCATTCCATTGAGAATCTACCAGTATCATTTGTTCCCACATTGACAGTCAGTGGATTCTTTCATGCTCCCATTAGGATCCTCTTCAGCCTTGTGTCCACAATCTGTATCTTAGCATCTGACAGACAACACATCCTTCTGTTCTCCAGATCACCACTGGTGACAGGTCTGACTGTTTTTCTCCCCATTCATGTAGAACTGCCTCTTCCTGGTGTTGGTGCAAGTCTCAGGACTTTCCTTTTCTGTTCTTTTTGGCTGCAAGTCATCTTGTCTTCTGTTCTCACTTGCAGTCTTCTGTGAGTCTTCCTCTGTCCTCCTCAGACACTGAAGTCTGGCTATCTCTATTGTCTCTCACAACACACTGCCTCCCCTACCAGACTTTGCAAACTGAAAACAAACTAACACTCTCCAATAACTCACTTACTTCCCCTAAGTAGCAGGGGCTTGCCTCCCTTCTCCTCCAACAGATCTCCACTCAACTTCACCTGTTTTCAGCTCAAAGGAAGGGCCTTGTTTGCAAGAGAGATTCAGTTGTGGGATTTTATCTGTTGAACTGTGAAAATGACTAACATGAGCCCTTCTAAATAGTTAAACGGCCAATATTTTGTAACGCAAGACAGAAAATAAGTTTGTTTCAGGTTGCTACAATGTTTGCGGTGAGAGGATTTTTAAAGGGGTTATCTTCTCTTGGGATCTCTGACTGGGTTGAACATTTACACTCAAACAAAATGGTGCAATTTTTTTTTGGCCATCTTATTTTGTAATGGTAATTTGCACTACCATCAAAGATCCAAGAATACTGTTTTAATAGGCTTTGTCTGTTACTAATGCCTCTGTCGGAGATATTTACATTGTGTGCTGTTCAGTAGGTTTTTATTTAGCTTCCCTCAGTTGTCTTTTAGAGGACTTCTTTACAGCTTGGTGCTAAGCAAAATTCTATTCGGTAATTATGGAGTACAGTTCATAATACAAGCATTGTTCCATACACAAATATGGGCCATATTGTGACACCCTATGTGATCTGAGAATTATTTTATGACTAATTGCAATGGATTTACTCCTGGAGTTGGGTACTACTCAGTGGAAGTAGTATTTTGGAATTTAGGCATCTATTAGACGTTTTAGGTTGCACACATAAACACACTAAAGTCAAGAAATGGTAAAGTTAAGGTTGCACATGCAGTCTAGGCATTCAGATTGTTAGCATAGTACATGTGAATATCATAATCCTAGAACCATTTGGCTAGATGCCATTGTAATGCACCTTAGGATGTATTACAGAAGAGATCTTTTACTGTGACCCTTAGGACCTGCACAACCCTTAAGTTGTATTACAATGGAACTCCTGATATAACGCAGCCCGATATAACATGAATTCAGATATAACGCGGTAAAGCAGCGCTCCAGGGGGGCTGCGCACTCCGGTGGATCGAAGCAAGTTCGATATAACGCGGTTTCACCTGTAACGCCGTAAGATTTTTTTTGGCACCTGAGGAAAGCGTTATATCTGGGTAGAGGTGTACTTCTTACAAGCAACATTCCCTAACCTCTGTGTATTTTTCATGGCCCCCAGAGACTGAACCAAGGGCTCCTGCTGCTAGAGATATTTTCCTGCTGTTTGGATAAAATCCTGGCTCCATTGAAATCAGTTAGTGTTTTTCCATTGACATAAATGGGGCCAGTATTTTACCTCCCAAGCCTACATTTTCCTTTTCTTAGTTTCATTCATTAATTTAAGCAGATCCCCTTAGAATCATCCCAACATTGTTCTTTAGCCTTCTTGATGTTTGTTTCCTTCAAGTAATTGTAGGTATTTATCCTACCACAGTGAATCAGTGATATTATTTACAATATTTAAAAACTGCAAGAAACCCATCCGGTTTATTTTGGTGGGGGGTAGTGGTGAGAAATTGGTAAAAACCAGCCTTGCAGAACTGGAGGTATGGTTCATCTGAGCTTTGTGCAACATCTACTATAGTACAGTGGAAGTCATGTGCATGTCTATTAATGTATCCATCAACACATACTTTGAACAATTTCAATATCTTATAATAAGCATCCTTTATATAGAGTTTCACTAAGCTGAAAACTGCAGTGAAGAGTTATAGGAAAAACTAACTCTATTTTGAATCACACATTAGCTGTTGCTATTTGTTTAGCTGGAAGAAAAGAGAATGGACTTTGAATAGATTCCATTTTTCTCCAATAAATTTTAAAAGATTTTTCCACTGGCAGTGGTTGATAGAGTTCATTGAGTGCTGGTGATTTTTTTGTTTTTTATTTATCTTTGTTCTGCTGTGTGCAAATTTTCTGTTTAGTTTATTCATTTGGGCCAATAACTATAATAATGTCTGTACTAAGTCTTTCACCATCTTTCTGTGTCTATGAGTAACTTTTCAATTTTTAGGACTGTTTTTCCATGTCCTTCTTATTATTTTCTCTCCTCCTCCTGCCCCCCTCCCCTATTCTCTTTTATTCCTCTTTCTTCATTCTGGGATTTTTCTGAGTGGAAGCACTTGTTGGTCGGTGGGATTGACTGAATAGAAACAGTTAAGATGGTAAACCTGTCTATATTTCTTCATCTGTTCTGTGTTATACATTAGGCTCTTGAGTTGTGAAGGGTCATCCATTTGCTGGGCATGCTTCATTGATCAGTACCAACATGTGAAAGGAAAGAGTGGACTTGACTGCAACAAGCTACTGAAATAAAATTGTACTATAGAATTAATTGTTGATCTTGGTTCGAAGGATTATTCTAATGTCAATAATCCAATGGCTGAAAGTTGAAGCTAGTGAAAACAAGGTAAATATTTAGTAGTAAGGGTAATTAACAATTGGAACAAGTGGATTCTCCATCACTACCATTTTAAAATCAAGATTGGATCTTTTTTCTAAAAGATAAGCTCTAGGAATTATTTTGGGGAAGTTCTATGTCTTGTTTTATACAGGAGGTCAGACTAGTTGATTGCAATGGTCCCTTTTGGCCTTAGAATCTATTGATCTGTGAATCCTGACAAAAAGTTTATGGATCTAGGCAATGTCAAACTGGTAATACTGGATCCTGATTGTTTCTGTTAGTATTTACAAACCTATGCATTGCTTCTGTGGCTCAAAACAAAGACCACTCATAAAGAGTGTGGTGCCATTTAAATTGTCAGTTCTAACCCAAGTGGTTTTGTTTAAGAATATGTGATCCCCTAGTGACTCTTAAATTATATTGTATTATTTCCATTTGGGAGTGAAAGAACTGTAGGATTTATTTTATTTGATTAATGAAGATGCTAAGATTGCAGCCTGGGGTGTCAGTCTCTAATTCTATTAATAGAATCTCTAATTCTGTGAATTTGATAACACTAGTTAGTCTCTAGTTCTTTTAAAAATGCATTTTAAATTAGCATTTTAACTTGTTTTGTGTGGCCCTCTGTAGACTATATGCTAGTAACCTGACCTTTTCTTCTCTCTACTGGAAAATCATATCTATGGCTGGTGTATCCTAGGGTACAGGCTTCCTAGGACCAATTTAAAAATGTTATTGATACAATCTCACTGTTTTTTCCCCATGTGGTTTCTAAATTTATTATTATTATTATTATTTATTTAGTGTATTTTTGTTTATTCCCCTAAAAACTACCTATGTCACTGTAATGTAGAAATTACGATGACCCACATACAGGATCATAGCTCAAAATAGGAAACTCCTGCCTCTGGAATGTAATGACTATGGAAGAGATCCGTACATGCAACAATAATTATTACACCTGTGTATTGTTGGATATAGGGTCATTTTATTTGTTGTCTTTTCTTTGTTCACCATTGTAGATTTAATGTATAAAACGTGTTTAACACATGTAAATTTGCTTGTCTCCATGTTGCTTGGTGAGATGTTTATCTAAATGTCTTTATATAAAAGCTGTCTTTTCTTTTTTTTTGATTTAACTAACAAAAATTACGCATCCAAAATGCCCTACGTGCCCTAACAATTGCATACCATTAGAAATGACTACCTAGTAGCAAAAAATAATCATATATAATGAATTATCTAAGGCAGTCAATAATTCAAAGAAGCAAAAGAGCCACTTTTAGTCCTCCTCCTCCATCTCTGCCACAAAAGAGCATATTTTCATCTGTTCCTGAAAACCTTGTCAACTAAATGGCTTTTGCAGTGTGCCTCAAAGGTTCTCAAGTTCAGGCAATTTCAGAGGAAGGGGCATATCACTAGCTGGTGATATCTTTGAGCGCAAAGGTAAATCGTACAAGCATGGAGAGTATGTCAATAACATTACTGAAGATATAAAACTATGGCAGGTTTAACTTTTATAAAGTCAAGCCAAATTTACACTAGTGTAACAACAACATATTTTTATCTCTTTGTTTGTATTGTATGATGTTCCTTTAATAACAAAAATTATTTCTGTTAGGTTCACTAGATGTAGATTTCAGAAACATGCACATAATCTACTAATATTGGACATTTTTTCATGTCTTCTTTCTTGCATTAGTATCTGAAGTCCATGTACCACAAAATATTTCTTCAGATGTTCTTCTGGAGCATTCTCTGTCTTCTGCTTGCCTTGTGCCTTCTGATTCATTCATCTTATCAGGTGATGATGTACTGACAGCTGTTCAAACAGCCAACAGTATTTTAAACCCAGCTGTTTTTAAAGAACAGGTAAGCACATAATCTTAATTTTATTACAGGAAGTTGATGTATTTTATCCCTTGGCATTGTATTTTTTCTTATCAAATTAGAGATTTTTTTTCTTAAGGGACAAAAGTTGACTCTTGAGTAGTTTCTACAGGTGTAATTTCAAAATAAAGATATCAGTTACCAGTCTCTGAATATTCATTGTGAAGATGAGTACCTTTGAGATGGCAGAATATAATTAATCTACAAAGCAATGTATGTTTTAGCATTTATATATAATATTAGATAAAAATGTAGTTTAAATCCACAGTGAAATGCTTCTCAACCTCAAAACAGTAATTTCAGTATATAATTACTCTTTCTTAAATAAAAGATTTCTTTAAAGTAATTTGTGAGACATCACAATACTTTCATATGGTCTCCAATTAAGCTGCGTACATTAAAACGTGCTCAATTTTAAGCATATGCTTAAATACTTTGCTAAACTGGTACCATAATGCTGAAATACGTGAGGCATTGGCAGGAATGTTCTTTGGAAAAAGTATTGCTGTTAAAGCTACCAAAAATTTCAGAAGTAGTCCCTGCTTAAAAATGTCTTTTCTAGCAGCTTTAGAATTAGACAGTTACCTTAAGATTTACAAGCTCCCTCACTCAAAATTAATAGTATCTTACTCTTCAAGTATTCCTATTAACTTCAGTGCGGCTACTCATGTGAAGTACAATCCAAAGTGAATTAGGGGTAACCATCTGGCTTTTGGCAAACTGTTATTTTAATGGTATTTCAGATGCAAATAGGGTGACCAGATCACCAAAGAAAAATATTGGGACGC